AACTTGGCATGATACTCTTTCCCAGTGACAAAATCTGTACAAGGGCATAAACAGGAAGTACATAATAGTTTCATCTGATCCACCCCAGAAACACAACATTTAGTTTTCCAAGCAAAACAACTGGACACCTAGCCCAATTTCAAATACTGTCCAAAACAATAATAATAAAAAAAATTACGAAGAAGTGAAATTATAATTTTTTTTTACAGCTCTGTGTTATAAATGTAAATGTTTAGCAAATTAGGCAGTATATACAGCATAGGGTCTGTCAAAAGCTTTTCTCCATGGAGATGTTATTGCTTTGTCTGGAATGTGTTCACAGTATAGTATTACCTTTTTATCTTCATGGAGACCCAACCAGACCAAGTTACAGGTCAGATCTGTGAAGAGGCAGCCCCGCTCACAGTCAGAATGCCTGTTTTTCTAGGTATTTTTCTAACTATAAAACTACCTGTAATTAAATAAATGTAATGTAGAGTTGTTTAATGTTATACTGTGGAACATTCCAGGCAGAGCAATGACATATGCATAGAAACAACCCGGTGATGGCCCTAGAACCAAAAAGTTACATAGTGCACCTTGGAGAAACAATCCAGAAATATTGCACACAGTACAAATAACATGTACATTAAGTTGTTTCTTCAAAACCAATAGAATGTCTTTACCTGTGGTTTTGCAGCAGAGGCTCCATGGTTCATAAAAATGAGGCTGAGCAACAGTAGACCCCTTAAAGCTGCCTCCATACTTGTGTCTCGCTCTGAGCCCAATGGACGGCTCTCTCTTTTAACATCGCAGCCTCCACCTCCTCTTCCTGCTCTTCCTCCTGTTTCCTGGAAAAGTCCAAACTCAAAGAAACCTGATGAATCAGTTTTCGAGACATTTAACCTCACTCAGAAAATTTGTTGTTACTTAAAAATAGTCTACATAATAAACATGTTTTTTCTAGTTAAATGTGGAAATTAATAATACTTCAAATTAATACAATTTCATGCCTTTCATATTACTTGTAATTGATTTCCGTTAAAAAAGTGAGTGTGTGTCTTTGAGTAGTCAAAGAGTTCCTCAAATTGTGGGGACTGAAAGCTGTAGTAACTTCACCTTTTGTTATTCAACCACACGATTTAAAGTTAAAAAAAACAAAAAAAAACAACAACAATTGGTTAAAGTTAGGGTTTGTGTAAGGTTAGGCAAGTAGAAATTATTGGTAAGGTTAGGTCACCAGGAAATGAATGTAGTATGGAAACTCAACACGGTGTATGTAAGTGCAAATGACATTAGATGACTGGATAATAATATTCATTCCTTGTCTGAACATTGGTCATGGTAATGTAAGGACAAAAAACAGGTTAGGTCTAGGTAAATGTCTAGTAAAACAGAACTGTGTGCCGAGAGAATAGCAGGAAATCCTGGATTGTAAATACGATTCTGCTGTCCTTTTCACTTCCTGGTACTTTCTGCCCTGTCATCACACTCTGTATATTTGTCTTACTATCCTAATGGGGACATTTTGGTGAAACAATGTCAAGAGACAATGAGCTAGCAAAATTGAATCACAGTATTCAGAATTTGTGTCACCTTGTTCTAATGTGTCATAATTAAAACATAAATGATTTAAAACACACCTGGAGATGTGTTTTGTTTGATTCACTTACATTTAATCCTTCATTTTCAGTCCAGATACATAACTCTTATTCAAGAGCTTAAATGATGCATTGCAAATGCATTCACCATCATATGACCCATTATATAGCAGTGATAATTTCAGCATCCAAATGGTCTACGTATTACTAAAAACTAGCAGCTATTGTTTTTAACCTTAGTGAAACAGCCTTACACCAGTCAGTACATTCTCTACAGCAACAATTTAGCAATTGTGTTACGCAGAAAAAGGACTGTTCTACTTAGACCTGTTTTTCACACATACATATTATACTAAGCAGTAAAATGTGAAAACATAAAATTAATGATACATAATATATAACTTCAGAACAAAACAGCTGTGGACATAAATAAAATTAAAAAAAATACTGTATAAAATACAAATCTATATTATTTGATCCAAAATGAAAGTTTATTGCACATATCAAATGATCTCTTTAAATTAGTATGTTAAGTATTTTAAAGTAAAACAGGAAAAATATATTTGCTTAAGTTTTACACATACCATAAGGATACAGATATCCTATTTTCTTTGAGATACATGGGAAGTGGGTGGTACTGTATGCGGTACATCAGTTTTCTTCATGGTGTCTATTTGATATTTACAGGAGTCTGTATATACAGTGGGATGACTCTCTCATTTACAAGTGTGCATGTCATTCATGCTTTCACAGCGCCTGCAGCGCACATAGCAACACCACACAAACTTGCACTCACAGCGCTCCACATTGCGCACCACGTGGGTGTTGTATCCTCTGCCACAGCACAACAGATTACATCCATCAGGCCCGTGGGAGCTGCGGTTACAGCGGCGCCCCCTGGTGCCAGCCACACCCAAGTGCTGGTCCTCCAGACAGTAGTTAGGAGACTTGTTCATGTAAATGAGTTTGTGTTTGTCCACGGTAACATCACGCTCCTTCCACTTCCATTTTTTCTTAAATCTATCCAAAACATGAACACTCCGTTCATAGCGTTCTTTCAAGTACATTCCGACTCGGCCAAAAGGTGCCATAGTTCTCCAACAGGTCTTTACAGCACAGGATCCAGACACTCCATGACAGCGGCAGTCAGTCGACATTGTTCTTTCAATGGCCTGATACATAGACACACATGTCAATGGCTTGTCTTTCATTTTAAATAGATTAAATAATCTGTCCTTCTTTAACATCATCATAGTTAATATATAATAGTTTTAAGGAGACATCTGTCTGACCTGTCTTCCAGCCTCGCTGTTGTGTTGGTTCATGGTCAGCAGAGTGTATCCTTTGGGGAGCAGAGACATGTTCTTGGAGGTGCTGTCCATAAACATGCGGCTGAACCAGGTGCCGTACTGGATGTGGTCAGAGCAGCCGCCCCAGTGCCAGCCCTGTGCTGCCGACGCCGTGCCCTTCAGTCGGGCGTCACAGCCACACTCGGTCATGTTGCCCTGACTACAGGAGCGGGTCACGGCATGCACCAGCCCCGCTGCCATCACTGCATAGATGAATGCAGTCTCTTTGGTTCCTTTGGCAAAATAATAAAACATATAGAAAAAAAATAAAGCCACATTCAGATCATAACAAGTCCATTTAAGCCGTTTGTCTCATTCATGAGACAAACTGCTTTTGTAAAAATGTCTCATTCAGATGGACCTAATATCTTGATTTAAATCATCATGTGCTCAGAAAAAAAAAACATGATTTGATCAAAAAGCTCCTATTTACACAATTGTTTCAAGTTGTTTTGTAAGCATTTCTGATGATTCAGGCTATTTTAAGCATATTTATCCATGTTTTTATAACACTGCCCTCACCGCTGGTTAATTCATGTCCAAACAGAGATGGCTGGTCGTTGATGGAACAGTTCCATCGCTCGTGTTTAAACTGACTTTGGCACTCAGAGAGAGCCAGACGAGCCCCATCCTGGATGCTGGGCAACAGGAATGACTTTTTCCGGCACAAATCCTTCTGTTTGGGACTGAATGGTAAGTTAGCACAGCCAGTCTTCTCTGGTACTCCCGCCGTGCTCACGCCAAGCCACCTGTAGGGGACAGACAGCAATGGTTTTGCTTAATAATTAAAGTTTTCTTTTCAACAGGCTCACAAAAAAGAAAAAACAAAACAAAACTGGACACTTAAAACTGTCTTCCACTTAAAAAAAAAAGTCTACCCTTTGTCCACTTAAAATATACAGCTTAATTGTTCAAATTATACTTTATATTTTTATGTAAATATTTTATTCAGGGAATTTTCTCTTGTTCAGCGATCTTACTTTGAGATTTGAATTGCATCTAGTATTTTTTGTACTACAGAAGATATGATATAGGCGTTTCATTTAGTTTGATTATCAACCTGTTTGAAATAACTGCAGTAATTTAAATAAGTTCAACCCAATTTACTTATGAAATCCAAAAATTAAAAAAGAAATGGACAGAAAAAAACCTTATATGCCATCATCACATATGGAGGACTGATTACCAAAAATGATTAAAAATAAATAAATACATACATACATAACGGGTCTATTATTTATCTTATTACCTTTTTAATAGGCTATGCTATGCCATAACCTCTCCTGGGTGAAATCGCTGTAGCTTAAAATACATAAATACATACCTAAATTAACTTTTTCATTTTTGATCGTTCAGAAACCTTACTGAAAACTGAGTGATTGGTGAAGCATCGGGTTATCATCCTGGTTCTATTCAAACTCAATCTAGTTAGCGTTTTTATAACTAAGTAAATAGGCCTATTTATACGACATACGCATATCCGCGTAAGTACTGTATATTTGATAACTGCAGTCTATCCCTTTCACGACTAAACGATTGTAGGATTAAAATGTTCCTGTCAGAAGCTTTTGAGGTTTTTCTACATTTAACAGAGTCACTTACATCCAGTTGGCTCTGGTGCCCAGCGGACACAGGGAGACCAGCAGCAGGGTCAAAGTGCACACGCGGCGGACTCCACAGCTCCGTCTCTCCATGTCCTCATTCACCTGAACCGTCCCGTCTGTCCATGAGCTGCGCCCTAAGTCTCGTGCTCAGTGCCCTTTCTCCTGCCCTTTACTAATGCCCCAGTTACGTCCAAACTTCAAGTATCTTCTGAAATTTTTCCACCGATGCGCGGCTCTACCAAACAGCGAGCTATTGGTCACAATTACTGCTGACGTCAGAGACGGAGGCTAATTGGACGAAACCATCTAAGGCTTGAATCTATAAAATAATATTAATTTAAAAAAAAACCTATGACATTTAGACTACATTAAAATAATAATATTGCTTTCATTCTACTGGAGAAATTTTATATCGCAGCCTTGAAACCTATGGGACTTACATTATAGAAAAAGGAAGCCATTTATTTTATTATTATTATTATTATTATTTTTATTACAAAATATTTCAGCAGAATGTCCATCTATACATCTGGTATACTGCAACTTTATTTTTACTACATCTTTATGTTATACATTCAATAAAAATATACAATTTGTGTAGGATTAAAATACAAGCATTGTCAAAATGTATGGTTATAAGACATTTTCTACAACCATATATTACAGCTGCATAGTAGCCTTATAATACAGTAATCATGAGGTAAATATAATTTGGCAGTAAATTGTATTTCAGGTTAAAGCAATGAGCAACACATAAAAAAAAACAAAAAAAAAACACATTTATATTTTAATCTTAAAGAAACAATTTCTTTTTTGGTCCATCATGAGGTGGCAAACAAACACTGAAAATGCCATCAACTGTTGCTACAAAGAGGAATACAAAGAAGAAGGCACAGAACTGATCATTTTAGCCAATGTGTTTACCAATGCATTGACTCATACTCACATCAGTAAATTTATAATCTTAAGATTCTTATAAATATGTTTGGCACAAACTAGTTCTAACTTAAAGCTACAAGAAAATACACATAATAACTAAGGTACAAAGCTACAAATAAAGGACAACACTGAAATAGAGAAACACTAAGTTGTAGTGTATGGATGAATAGAAAGAGACATTTTACAGTGAGCATAAATATTAAGGATCAATGTGCAGCTGATGTGCTATAGTCACACATATGTGCAAAGTAGCCAATATACTTTATACTTTAATTCTCATTACAAAAAGTACATAGAACAAAACACAAGAATGTGAAATGTAGTGCACTCTTACCCACCTACTACTGCGTTAAGGGTGTTAGGCAAGGTAATAGGAGGCTACTGAAGAATTTGGTCAATGTAAAAATACAATATGCATTTTAATGGAAAATATTTATGTTTCACAGTGTCAGCTGGAGTGTTTGGAAATTTCAGTTCACTTCTGATACCTGAAATTAAAATTAGTTAGTAGTTCTCTGCTGCTGTCCTTTTGCCCTTTCTCACCTGTTCTGTTTCTATTCCTCACTGCTCATATTTGAGCTCTGTCGATCAGGTGTTTATGTCAGGGCAGAGGCGGCTCAGCAGGATCTCAGAGTACACCTGGTTCACTGGTCCTTTCACTTTGTAGGACAATGATTTTGACCTGTGGTCCCAGGCCACAGCTGTATTTGGGCCAGCTCCGGCAGACCTAGTCTTGTTGTCTTTTGTTTTTAAGTCAAACGAGGTCTTGGAGGACACACGTTTCTCCACCTATGCACGAAAATGGCGTGTAATAAAAGTAATACGTGAAGCAATTTTTGTCTAAAAAGATAAAATCTTGGAAGATTGTACCTCATGAAAATGACAGGCACATCTTCCCTGTAGAAACTCTTTGTATCGTCCCATTGTGATGCTAAATGTATCAATTACTTCAAAACCATACTTCTTTGCTATACTGATGAGGTTCTGGTTCTCCATGTAGAGGTCTTGGATCTCTCTCTATAAACAACAACATTAATCTTAAAATGTTAACATTTTCAAAAACAACAAGAGACATTTAGATACCAAAGTCACACCAGTTTCAGTGATCTGACCCCATCGACAAGTAGGTGGAATCCCATCCCCAAAGACTTGACCACCACCAGGATGTTGTTTAGGCCCTTTCTGTGTAAACAATAGCACTAGCATCTTCAGCCTTCACAAAGATTATTTTTGGTAAATCTAAACTCACCTCTTAAGAGTTTCTCTGATCACTCTCAGATGTTTGGTGTTCAACCACTGGACTCCGCCCACAACCAGAACTGTCTGTTTGGAGTTCAACAGCGGTCTGGACCTTAAGAAATGTTCACAGTAGTAATTTAATAAACAATTATAAAGTATATAGTATGGTTAATTTAAAATGTAGTGTTGTTTTGCACCTGTCCAACAGCTTCTCCAGTGATTCTGTGAATGTGGGTCTTTGATTTGCCTCCAACCAGAATTGAGGAAAATATGAGTAGCTGATGAGTGTCTGTCCTCCATTTAAGTTATTATAGATCAATGTGTCATGAGCTTTTTCCCAGTCCTTCAGACTGGTGTTCACACGCTCCATCAAGAAATACATCATCCCTCGATTTGTAGAATCCCCAATGAACAGTAGCTGAAAAGTATTGCATGATATAAACAGATGTATAAGTAAGGATAGTTAAGTTCAAACAAAGTGATGACTTACTGATCACATGATCTCACCTTTCTGTCAGCCATACATTTCTGCAGCTGAAGATGGTCTATTAATGGGTAATAACAGTTATCTGGCTGCCAGACAATCTCCCTCCAATCACAAGTCCTGTTGTCCAAGCAGCTGAGACAGGGCACCACCCATCGCCCTGAAATTGTAAGTGTTGTATTATATTATTTTCCAAAATGATTTTACTCTAACTGAAAAGACAACAAAAGTGAGAGTAACCTGGCTTGTCCCCAGACCTGCAGGGCTGGGGAGGGTTCTGAGACTTGTTAAAAGGCTCCAAACCACAGGACCGATCGGGCTGAACCAACAGACTGCACTCCTGAAACCAGGACAGGTCAGTGACTAAATGCTAAACAGTTCAGAAGACTAAATATGATTTTAAGCTGTTTTTATTAAACAAACTAGTTCTGTTGCATTGATTACGTTCAGATTTCTTCCATGATTTGCACTGAGACCTATTTTTCTTTCATCCCTTCATGTATTCTTTATTCTTGTGCCTCTATTGGTCAAGAGGCAAAGGTCAAATAAACTCTTCTTGCACAGCAAAGAGGCCCCATGGGAGCCGCCACGTCTGGCCCAGAGTTCAGACGCATTTTCTTCCTCTGGTGCTGCTGCGGGGGTTTCTGCAGGACAACATCACATTCTGCACAGCCCCGTCGCACATCGCAACAAAGTGCCACAAGAAAACTTAACAGGGATTTTCTTGTTCGTACCTGAGCTCAGTGTACCTGCTCAAACAACTGCCGCCTCGTCACCTGCACACATCAGCGGCGAGAACTAAATGCTCGCGCTGCCTTTCATCCTGATGCAATGAGTCTAAAGAGAGCTCAGCGCCACAGAGACGCGCTCCAGTGTGTACTGACGACATCAGTCAACAAGAGCCAGGAATTTTACAAAAATTTTAAACATTCTGACAGCTATTTAATAAACATTTTTTTCTCTGTTAAAATATGACCAAGAAGTGCAAATAAATTATGATTGATTTAAAAGTGTAACTAGTCTGCCTTTGAGCTGAAGAGGAAGTCTTCCCAGTTTGACAATAACTACTGTATGTGTGTGAGTGTGAGAAAACTAACAACATTAGTTTATATATGTAAATAGCAAATCATTATTACATATTTTTTTTACATACCAAGGTCTTGCACATGATAACAAATCAGTTACATGAGATTGATTTCATATGGTAAATAGTTACATTTTTATATAGTGCCACCATCAAGGCACTCAAAGAAATTTAAAACAAGGAACACCCGTTCACACACCAGTGTACGCAGAGACTGGGGGGAAGGTGGGTTAACTGTCATGCCCAAGGACACAATGACAGCATTAATTTGTGGGAGCTGAAATCGTACCACCAACCTGTGGATCAGTGGATTTGACCGCTCAACCAATGATATTTTGTTACGCCGAGAGCGGGATTTGAACCACCAACCTTTGGATCTGATGCTATACCAAGTGAGCTACTGCCGCCCCTAGATATCAAATATCATCTGATTTAAGAACATTTACAATTGTATTTTCCTTTTTTTTAATAGGATATTGTGGCCAAATCCTGTTTTTTTTTTAGTTTTACTGGTTTTGATTTTATCTGCAGATATATTGGATACTTTACTATCAATTAAAGTTTGAAATTCAATTTTGAGGTGAGAAAATTACATTTTCCATTAATTGTAATAGAAAAGTAAACTAACATTTCTACTCTGGAGATTCCAAATTGTTGCTCTACAGTAAGTCTATTAAAAACAAAGTAATTCATTTTATCAATCAATCAAACTTTGTATGAGGTACCTGCGTGAAGCTGCACATCACATGATCTCCAAACATCGGCAGACTTGGGCGACTCTCTCTGAACACATGCAGAGTGTAGATCGCCATGACAACCTCAGATTCTCCTCCATCCGTCAACAGGATACTGATTCTGCTTTGACCGAGGCCAATGGGGAGGTTTGCCATGCTTAAGGTTTAAAAGCACAGACGTAATTTTATAATAATGATTGGTAAAGTTACTTAGATATTACTATTAGTCTTACCTAGGGCCATGGTGCTCATCTAGGTGAATACGGCAGTTTGAGCTAAGGGGCTCGGGACGAATTCGGATCATTACAGTGTCAAAGGGCACTTCAACACGGTACTCCTTCACCCGGGGGTCAAATGGAGGGGTCATAGAGAGAGGAGGGTCTGTGTAGATCTGTCTGAGCTGGGAGTCTGCACACTTGGCTTAAATAGAAAACAGGAAAGCTTTGAGTATGAGCTACTATTCAAGTAATAATCAAAGAACATTAAGTTACCAATAACATTTTCTTTGCTTAAAAAGTTATGTGAGTGTCCAGTACTGGCTAATGATAGTTCCTTGGCAGTTCTATAAAAAAGAAAAAGACAAAAATTATATCAGTAATTCAAACAACTTATTTTCTTCTTTTCATAGACTCATAGTTTCATGCTTACCTGTGGTTATAGTAACAGGCAGTTTTGACAAAGAGGTCATCAATGACACCATAAGGGATAGAAGAGGAGCAGAGAGTGGTGTTGGGATGTAGCTAAACAGCAAGAATAAGAATATGGTTAATACAGGATGGGACTTTTAAAATATTGTGTCTGTTATATTACATCTGTTTTATACCAGTTGAAAAGGTCCAGGTAATTTCATTTGCTCATAGAACTGCAGTAGAAGTAATTGATCGTCTTCAGAGAGACTCACACCAAGGATTGTTGTATAACCATTACCCTGACAAAGAACAAGTCAATATGTTTTGCAGAATGATAGTACAATGGTAAATAAATGACTGTTGATCAGGCGGTCAGAATTAGAAGTTACCTCTTTACTGACAGCATTGGTCACAGAAGATAATATAGTTTGTGATTTTAGCAGAAAGTGAAGCATGTCCTCTAGCATCAGGTCTCTAGTAATCTTCTGATCAAAGGTTTTGTCATTAAGTGCTGGAAATGTCCAGTCAGTATCCACCTAGAGACAAAGAGGCATGGACTCAGTGCCCTCTGGTGGTCATTGATTTAAATGAACCCTAAATACCACAAATATGACTGGGCTCTAACCTTTGGCCTCTGACTGACTTTGGCACAGGTGTGCTGCAGGTGTGTTTGTGAGTCTGTATGTGCTAATAAGCTTTAGTTACAGCCGCTTCACTGATCAAACAAGAGCAAACACTGAGCTCTTTATTCATTTTCATTATGTTGAGACGTGCCACACAAATTACATAATAACATGTTCTTCAGTTTGCTTTTAGAAGATTGTATTGTGGTACGGTACTTTATTAGTTACAATATAACGGCATGGACCAAAGAGAAAATATGCTTCCCATACTACCTAGATTTACTCTTATATCCCAAAAACGTAAACAGCAGTATAGTAGACAAACCACTGGATGCCATGGGGTTTAGCTCCATATTGTGTTAGGTCTACCTGAGAGAACATGTTCTTGAGTACATCATACATTATTTTATAAGACTGAAAAATTGTCCATTACCTGGATGATAGTGGGTGTAAGAGAAGTATTAAAAAGCAGAGTAAACGTGAGCAGTTGGTAACAAAGGAGGCACCTACAAAAAACAAACAAAAAAAAAAAACATTATTAAGAAAACTGAAAAAACACTAATGTGATATTTGAACAATCATCTGAAAGCCTGAAAAATAGTACCTTTCTATTGTTTGGTCTTTCTCGTAGGTGGATGCTGCTGCCTGCAAAACATCTCCAATAATTCTCTTTATGTGCCCAATCATGTCTTGATAAGAAGCTGGATAGCCCAAAACCTCAGGCCTAAGGTTTTCCAACTGTGAGAAAGGCAGAATGTAAATCAACCAGCAGAGGGCAGTAAAGATTGTTTAAAATGGTCAAAAGGAAATATTTTTTAAAAGTAAAACAATACAAGAATTTATTTATAACCAGAAGAGTACCCGGTTTGGTTGCCCCCTCTCCCCATTGGTTGACAATACAATGCTGTTATGCAGAAAGGAAGTCAGTGGCTCGAATGAAGTGACCAGGATGTAAACATTTACCACAGCACCAGGGGCCTGAGGTGGTGCTATGGGTTTGGTCAAACTGAAAACAGAGAAATGAATGAATTGCCTTTGTAACATATAAGAACCATATAACATAATGTAGTGTGTTGGAGCAGCTCACCTGGTGGCTCCAGTAGACCCTTGGTCCTGGGTAGAAGCACAAGAGTAGAACCTCATGGGAATTTTTGAATCTATTAAAATATATAAAGAAAGAAAGAAAAATCTAACTTGTATTATGTTGTTCAGGTATCAAAGGTAGTTAGTGTAGTTTAGTTTTTCATAGTACTGATGTGTTTAGACTTTTAGTTGAAGTGTATTAATGTGCATTTTTATTGCAGAGAAAGAGAACAATACAGGTAACAAATACAGTCTTCAGAATTTCATAGTTACAGAAGAAAGACATGTTTTTATAATGTACCTGCCAATGCTTTGTGAGTAAACATGTGACATAGCCCACTGCCTGCATCAGAAAAAGCCTTCATCATCTTTGGAAGAAGATTCACCTGAAGGTTCCGACAGAGGAGCACTGTGAGGACCACCACATGAGGTTGACTAAAATGTGTGGACAGAGTCTTACCCTCTGGTGACCCTGGAGCTGAGAGAAAGGCACTCTCCTCAGGCAGCTGGTTTCTGAGGAGCTAAGGCACAGCAGCAGGTTCACCCCACTCATACCTAAAAAGACAAAACGTAATAAATCACAAATGTCATTGCAGTTTCTCTTTTTTTTTCTTCTTAGAAAAAATGTGAACTCTGATTTCATAAGACCTGAGTTATGAAAACAGCCCCAAGGAGGCGCCAGTGTTATGAAATGTGTGCACATGTGGTAGTGATTGTGGAACAGCAGGAAATGTTCTGGTTGTGTTTTTTGGCTGAGACACCCTAAAACTATATACAGCTGCAATTCACGTAGATTTAAAAACACATCTCATTGTAGCTGACCGGAAGTCTCCACCCTTAAACTAAACACACACACAACTTCCTGTCACCGATTAGAAACAAAAATAAAGCTCCTGTGCCCTCAAAACTACTAATTTTCACAATATTTCTAGAGTCCTATTTAAAATAACACTGCATAATATTCCCCAAGGAGACAGATAAGTTTCATGCCATATTGTGTAATATTATAGCCAAAGGAAGAGCATTTCAGATAAGCACGTGAAGAGTCAAATGTGTAAAGATATAATGCAATGGACACATTGTTTTCTTTGTGTTTTGTTCTTTAATTGAAGGTTTTACTAGCAATTACACTCAACTATGATATACAACCATACAGTAATAGTACCTTGCTTTGGTCTGAGTTGGCTACTGGTCTCAGCATATCTGGAGAGCTGGATGTCAAACCCCATCTGCTGAAGCACTCGCTTGTACAACTGGACCTCTGTATCTGTGATGACATGTTGACCCGTCAGAACCAAAGCCTTCTGACGCTGGGTCCCCCAGTCTGATACTTGCTGGACCTATAGAAGAGCGTGCATGGTCAGGCTGAAACTCA